ATCGTTTATCCAGCCTTTCCATTTCCAGCATCGCCTCATTCTGTGTTTTCTTTATTGTGTCTATTTCAGCTTTCATGCTTTGAACTGTTTCAAGAGCTTCCTTCACTTGTTTCGTTGTTTTTTCTTGGGTTTCTTTAGATTCTTTAAGAAATTTGTTTATTTCTTGAATTTTTTGGTTTGTCTTTTCCTCCATTTCATGTAATTTTTTGCTTGCTTTTTCTTCTATTTCTTAAGGGATGTTCTTGTTTCCTCTTTAAAGGTCTCTATCATCTTGCCGAGATAATTTTTGAGGTCCATCTCTTCTTCATGCTCTGTGTTGGGCTTTTCAGATCTTGCTGGTGTGGAGTCCCTAGATTCTGATGGTGTCATATTAGTCTTTCTGTTGTTGAGTGCGTTCTTCTTCTGTCTTTTTCCCATATCTTCTTCCAGTGGGTACAGGTGGGGTCTCTCTATCTCCTCTTGTGACCCAGTGGTGTGTGTGGACCAGGGATTCAATGTCTGAAGTTCTGGATGGTCTTGCCTCTCCTGATAGTCTCCTCACTCTGAAGGAGTTAGGCCTCCGTAGGGGTCAGGTCGGCGGAATGGGAAGGAAGAGTGGGGTATTTCCAGATTCAGGGAGTTCCTCTCTGCCTGGGCAGGTCTACTCCAAGTGGGCACAGGACCAGAGAAATCGGGGTGAATGGGCCTTTGGATGGGAGTTGAGTAAGAGCAGAGGGTCACTCACCTCATTATGGATCAGGTTGGCAGAACAGGCAAGACCTGTTTTCTGAAACAAGTATGTTAACCTTTATTTATCTTTTTGGGTGAATCTTTATCATCTTCATTTAGCTATATGCTTTAAATTCTTAGGTAACATGTGTATCATTAGTCTGATAATTTGTGTTTTGATATTAGTTTATTTACTAATTTACTATTAGATAAAAATGTTACCTTAAAGAGACTCATCTACTATTTCTCTTTGGCATATTTATGTTACTGATTTTAGTTTAGCGACTTGTCAAGTTAGAATATCCATACACACTCAAATAGCAAATACTATTATCCTGCTCTTTTAAAATACAATGTTTCTCTTCAAGTCTAATTTACTGGACCAATTTATCTACTTTATTAGGATTTTTAATTTTTGTTGTTGTTTCTTGCTACAAGATACTGCTATGTATTACAGGCTTGCTTGAACTATGTAGCCCAGGCTAGCCTCCAATTCTGGATCTTCCTCCTCAGCCTCTTTAGTTGCTACCACCCTCAGCTTTATTTAGATTTTTTTCTTTTTTTTTAATGGGGTGTGAGGTGACACTATTCTCTTGGAGAAATGAACAAATGTCTATTCACTTCAGAGAGAGAACCAAAGACAGAAGAAAGTAACAATAACAACAAATCTCATCTTGATAAACCAATGAGTTTATTGTGTGATAGTGTTACATACAGGACTGTGAATTAAACATTACTTATAGGAGCACAGACAATAAAGACAAGTGTGTCACCAAAAGTCTAGCCCAGTATGAATGAAAATCATAAAACCTAGAGCCTTGGAATTGTCTGAAGGACTTGTAGGGAGCTCTAAACGTTTTCAAATCCTTTTCAGCTCTCATAATTTTTATGTACCCTCAAGAAAAGCGAAGTCATCCAGTTCTTTTTGGGGACTTCCTGAGACTCTTGAGTTGTGCATTTCCTGAGTCTTAAGAAGATTCATTTAGAATTTAATGTTCTTCTCTCCAGGATGCAGCATGTTTTTTAGGAAGAAAATGCTACACAGCATGTTGGTTTCAGACATGTCAATATCTTGTGTCTTCCTTGATTGCTCTCTACCTTATTTGTTGGGACATCTGTCAAAAAACCCAATCTTCTGTATTTGAGTGACCTATCTCACCAATGATCTAGAGCAATCTTACTTCTTATTAACACTAAGTTTATAGTCACATGTTGACATTCCTGACCTGTTAAGTGAGCAGTGTAGATAAAGCCTTATATCCTTATTCTTTTGTTACTGTCCCTTTATGAGGACAATGAGCTGTCTCTGTAGCCTGCTGTTTCTTTTTCTTATTTTGTTTTTTTCTATTTGAAACTTGGTGGAGGCTACTGTTTCACTATATGTAGACTGGGCTCATTTTAAATTTGTGATATTTCTCCCTTACCTTCCTAGTGCTGGGAATTCAGGCCTGAACCAATATGCCCAGCCATAGTTGGTTTTTATATACACATTAATAATTAATCTCAATCTTTTAAAAAGGTTTGTCCTGCCAATGTTTTTAGAAAAGAAAGAAAAGGATAATTTTGTATTTTTGGTTCAGGTTTTATTTTCACAGAGAAATCATCTTTGGGAGCAACTTCCACCCTCCACCTCTGATGATGAGTGGAGGATCTATGTGGTTAGGGTTGTATCTTTTTATTGCTGTTTGCATTTGCTTTCTACCTGTTTCATACACACTTTGGCCCTCATTTCCTAAACTCCTCCCTAATTATTCTTTTTCTTTTTTTTTCAATTTATTGCTTTTCCAAAGTCCTTTCCTAAGTCCTGAATTTTCTTTCTGCTATTTCTGTCCTAAGGAAGTGCTTCCTCTAAAACATTGAAGAAATTAGATTTTTCTTTGTTAAATAATCCCTGTGCTTTATATTGCTTTTGTGTACTCTCAAGTTTGCAATATCTTTAGACTTTCAAATTATCTGCTACCATTTCTCTCAGAAGTGTGGCATCTCCTGACTCCATATCCACACTAACAAACTGAATAAAGTAACTGGTTACCTGAAGCACTATGCATAAAGAATTTTCTGGTGAGGGGATCCCATGGGTACTGGGTGTATGACAGGACCGAGACGATATATCTTCACTCTTATTCCAATGCTTCATGCAGGAATTTCTCTATATTTGGTCCTAGGATGTTGGCCTTAAGCTGGTACTACTCTGGAAGTATAGTGGGAAAGTTTAGGCAGGTTAGTAATGGTTTTTAGATAGACTGACATGAAACATAATTTTTCAGTAAATAAAGACGTTCAGCCAAGATGAAATCTTGTCATTCAAATACTCATCATGTGTGGATAGGGATTACAGTGGTTGGACTTCAGAAATCACCTTACTACAGTTGGAGACAGGAACTGGATTCAACTGCCCTGAATAAAAGATGTCAAGCTTTTTAATCGAATTTAACCTCACTTTAAGAAATAACCAACACCTCTTATTTGTGGTGTTTTTGAAATTTTGCCTTCAAATTCTTAGGCTGCCTTACAGATATTTTTCTACTTATAAGAAGTTCATGACAAGACAGCTATTGGTTTTCTGGATGTCTATTTCATGTCATTTCTTTTGTGGAGAATATAAATATCAAATTTATGTTCAATACATCTGAATGAAGAGTTACAATAAGTTCTCTACCTTAAGTACACACAAACAAGGGAACTGCAACATGCTAAGTTACTAGAGAGAGTTTGTGCTTCACAGCACTTTTTCCAAGTGTCATATCAAATTTATTCATCTGCAAGTTGTGTTTATAAGTAAGCATTATCTATATGAGTATAGATTTTTATTGTTCACTACTTATAAATAAATACATGGCTAATATAAATCACAGGATGTATACTTTAAATTCAGTTCCTTATAATTTGTAGCTAAGTTTTGCTAGTGTAACAGTGTAAATTAATGGGTGTTATCAATCCTCATGTGCTTCTCCCCTCCTCTACTCCACCATTCGTTTTTTCCTGTATCCATTCTTTTCATCTTCATTCCTCTAAATATTTTACATAGAGTCACCATATCTTTCTTCTGTGCTTTTTCCCTGTTTGCTACCACAAAAACCTATATACTATTACAAGAGTTTGAACTATGTAAATTTGTTTTCTAAATAGGAAAATCTATTCTCTAACTTAAACCCTCTTGTTCTTTTTAAATATTACATTTTATTTCTATCCTTTCATAACACTATTTTTCTGTTGCCTATAAAGATAAAGTATTGGTAAACAAATAGGTGTACTGGAAATGCCATCTAAAACTAAGAAATAAGATTCTGTTTGCCTTGGAAATGGTCTTAGGGAAAAATACATAATTGGATTTGTTCATTTTCAACAAATTGACTAGTATAATTTGCTTCTTTATGTAATGTATGACTTATTTATGTGACTACTATGATTGTTAAAGTAAATTTCTCTCAAAGTAATTTTTGTTTCTTATTCTAAACAATGGACATGATTTATGAAATAAAATGACTCCAGCAATGTAAGCAAGAGGGATTTCCAAAATGACATCACCGTACATAAGATGTGTGTCTTGACTACAGTTAAATACTGGATGTCCATTTGAACCTTCAGTGTAAACATGAACTGTACTTTACCAGAAATCTGGTAGAATTCAGTACTTTCGTATCAATTAAGGCCAGAATGTCAGTCTTCAAAGAGTGATTTTAAAACCTTGGCGTGGCCACAGTGCTTTCAACAAAGTCATTAAAATTCTCTTGGCTTCTGTTTAATTTTCAGGAAAATGAGGATTTGTCACCAAAGATTATTATTAGAACTTAAAAATTCAATATGTAAAGCATTTAACATAGTGCCAACCTCATAATGAGCATGCAGTGAACAGTTGTTGATATTATTAAAAAAAAAAACATTCCAATACTTTTGACCAATACAAATAATACTTTATTGGTCAAAAGCAAAATTAACTTAGCATATCAATATCTACACATTAGGCAAATGGAAACAACTAGGGAGGATAAGCTCTACTCAGCAAAGTCTCTAGATTAAATAAAACGTTTAAAGATATAGGGTTGTGGGAGGGGCATTTTCTCATTTCAAAATTTAGAAAGGGTTCCGAATGTTGGTTTTTCCAGTCAGTAGCAATGGAAAACTATTCAGAGGAGCCATTTAATTAACAAATATTCTTGTATTGCCTGCTACATGCCCTGCTGTGTTTACCAACCATGCAGAAGAAAATACGTCCTTTTTTATGCTTGAATACTTTCCTTTTCCACAGACATTTCCACTGGGCCTGGGAGATGGGCAATTCTATTCGTGGACAGATGGTCTGAGAAGAAAAGACTGGCACGACTATGAAAGCATTCAGAAAGATGCTTTGCGCTCAGGTATGAACTTCAGAGTAAGACAAAGCATTGCTTTTACTTCATGTTTTGTTTCTCGCTGCAAATTTCTCATGTCAGTTTTGCTTCTTCATGAAGTAAAGATGTCTGTCTTATGGGAACACTGGGCATCAACAATGGGCAGAAACAAAATGACTTCAAATTTCACAGACAAACCTTTCCTTGGATACAGAAGAAGCCATTGAAAATTGACACATGTATATTATATTGTATTTTCAAGCCTTTTAAGAATAATTCTATGGATGGTCTTGCGATTTTTTATTGAGACATGACCTGGTAAACATGAATTATAGTCACACATTGGGATGGATTATGTCTAAATGGCAGTGCAAAGCAATTTGGTCATCCCACAATTTTTAGGTATTTTAACTAACAATTTCATAAATATTAGCATCTGGGAATCTGAAGTTGGTTATGCTTGTACTAATGGTTCAATAGGACCAACTAGGTCTAGCTAGGTGTTACAGATAACAGAAAGAAATTACAGGTAAGTCCTTGTAGAAATATTGACAAGAATGGAGTTGTGCAATTAAAAATTCAGAAGAATGCATTAGTAGAAATCCCTGGAAGAGGAATGGCATGCACCAGGCAGGCCTTGTTCTCTCACTCAGAAGAGTAACTTTGCTCTTTCCCAGTGAGGTTGTCACATAAATAGGGTAACTACTGTTTGGAAAGATATTTGAACAGCAGTGAGGTAATGCATCTGGGTCAAGTCACAAGCATAACTATGACTACCCAGGATGAGGTCATCATGGTCAACCTTCCACAAACTCATCCCCTCGGGATAATTGCAGTGAAAGTGTTACATTGTCCTGACATTGTACAGGGCTGCTCTATTTCAGGTAGAGCTGATCTAATTATAGCTCCTTTCACTCTTTTCTCAGTCCCCCCCCTTTTTTTTATCAAGCATAACCTACCTCTCTTTTTTTTTTTTATTAAAGCATCTTGTCCCAAAGATAATTCCTGTTTTAAGAGAGTTGATCTCTTTTAGATACAATCTTCCTACCTTGGCCATGAACCATAGAAATGCCACAAAACTGTTTTCCTCACCCCCTGCTTCACCTGTTAATCCTCTCATCTTATTTCCCTCCGGTTTAGCCCAACTGTATTGATCTGACCATCTGTTCCTTATGCTTCAGGATGCAGAAGACTTTTTGGAGATGTTTACTTAAACTTGTCAACTGAATCTGTAACAAAATAAAAATAATAAAATTTTCAATAAATATTGAAGAGAGGATTAGCACTAAGTATATTGCTTAATCTCAGTATAATTTTGTTAGATAGTAGCCAAAGTTCATATAAAGTTGAGTCTCTAAGACTCTATTAACATAATGAATAACAATTAGCTAACATCCTGTGGAACTAGATAAGAATCAGGTTCTTCTCAATCTACCTGCCCCTATTCCTGATATCAAGAGTAGTGTAATATTTGAATATGGAGTAATGGTAGATCTACAGGACAATACACAATAGGTTAAAATTCTAGCATTTCCATTTATGAACTATATAAATAGTTATCTGCACATCAGCTAATAAAACTATTTTTAAATTTTATTTTATTTGTGTGTGTGTGTGTGTGTGTGCCTGTGTGCACATGAGTGCAGTGCCCATGGATGCCAGAAGAGGGCTTCAAGTCACCTGGAGCTGTAGCACAGGCATTTGTGAGTTACTCACATTGGTGGTGGTCACTAAATTGAGGTTTCTGGAAGAGCAGCATAAGCTCTTAACTGTTGGGTCAACATTCCTCACTCTAAAACTATAAATATTAAATCATGTTAATTATTTTACATGAACAGTTATACCTCCAGTTTGTGCAAACAAATTTTGGATACAAAATCTAGCACTTTCCTTTTATTTCTGCTTCATACCACATTCCTTGTAGCTTATTTCTCTGTGGATCAAGGGATATCCAAACAACCGGGTAATATAGCACTTTTCCGATACAAATTAGTGGTGCATTTTTAAAAAAGTGACTAAATGTTAAGGCTGTTTAGAAGCTCTCAAATGATATATAAGTATATCCTAAATGAAAACATTTTAAATCATTCAGACACACATTAGTAGATCCTCAAACTTAAATAAACATCTGCACTTACGAATCCAGGTCCTGTGTGTTCACATTTACTCTGTCACTTTTCTCCATACTTATTACCACTTGTATGTTTACCCTTATGCGTTGTGCTGGAATTTTATTTAGAGTCTAATCACGCATATTCTTTTTTGTTACTCACTTGTAATTATTTTTTTAAATTAATCTATGTAAATGTGTAAAACCAGTTGATTCATTACTGTTAATTTTCTTTAATATTCTTTTTGTGGTCATTTGGATGTCTTTAAGGTTTTAGTTAGCATGTAAACATCTTCTACAAAGGCTTTTGTATGGTCTTGTGCTAGAGACAATATTTTCTGAAGAATATAACAAATAGTGTACTGGTATGTGCAAGGAATTCATATCATTGGCCAAAGTAAATTATTCTCCGAAATTCTTATGGCAGTTTCCCTTCAGTCAATAATGGATTGGATTCCCCTTGCTGCAAGTCCCAGTAAGCACTTCATCCTGTAGTAGTATTTCCCCAATTAATTTTAATGGAATTTAGATATAATCACTACAATTTGCATATTATCCACTTTAATGAGATTAGTCTCCTGTGAGTATTAGCTGTTTTTCTTCCATTTGGGGAAAATTCTTATTAATTTTATTAATTTCCAAGTTGATTTTTTATTTTTCTATTTGTTATGAATCTATGCAGTGCTGTAATTTTGTTTTGGATAATGTACTTTGGTGGTTAATGTAGTAAAATGTATTATCTTACATTTCACAAACTTCCCAAAACATCTTCGCATGTGTATGTTATAAAAGAGTTCTTCATTATAATGTGATTAAATTCCCTTAGTTCCTCCCTCCATCCTCTCTTCCACCATTTTCCGTCTTTCCTTCCCCTTTGCTCCTGCTTTCTGGCATCTGTTCTCTGTTTCACTGTCATGAGGATACTGCACCCAGCCTAGTGCTGTGGCTTGAAGTTAAACCCCACACGCCAACGTTCTGTTTCATTTTTTTTCAAAAGCTTAAGAAATTTACCCTGTACATTTTAAAACCTAAACCCACATTTTCATATGGAAAAATTTAATAATCCAGAAATTATTTAAATTTTAGTTGACTGTACATTCAAGTTTCAGTAATGTTTAGTGAAAGTATTTTTTCTTCCATTTATCTGAGTGTTGAGTAGTATAAATTAAATTTCTGTATTTTTATGGTGTCTTTTTTTGAGCTCCTAATCCCACAAACAAAACACTTTGTCATATTAATGCAATAGTTCATATATAGAATTGTTATAGTAATTACTAACTTGCTAATAAGAAAAAAGGAGTGATTTTCTTGCTTATCTTTTGCAAAGATGTGTCACTGGACATTCATCTATTATTTCTGATAGACATGAACAGAATATATGCACAGTTTAAGATTTTTTGGTTATAAAACATACTAATAAATTAGAACATAATGTTTACCCAATTATCTTTAAGGTTAAATTTAGGTTAAATCAGCTTTTCTATGATTCAGGGGAACTCATAAGTTGATTCTCAGGTTTTTAAGTGCTAACTTTAGGGTACTAACATTTTATACATTTTTGCATATTTTTAAAGCTTTATTAGCACTATACCTGGCCTATGGACATGTTAAGAATTTTAATATCAATTGGAATTTAGGAAATTCTGAATATTAAATTTGAGTATTCATATCATTTAGAGTTTTCAATGTCAGAATTCATAATATTTGGGAGTTATGACAATACTGTTTTAATATTTATCTTTTCTTGACCTTATTACTTTTGTTCTTTTGGTCTTGTCACAAAACATGCTTGGAACACCAAGGTATATGTTGACCAGCTGTTAACAACAGCTACCTTTGACTTTATACAATGTCTACAATTGTAAATTAATTCCTCTTTTTAAGATGTTATGTATAACTACAATTTCTCATCTATCTAATTTCTTCATTGTATATGTACTTTGCCACAATTACTAAAATGATATAAGACTCTTTAGCAAACACACTTCTCAAACTTATTCTGGTTGGCTAAGACCATGGGTTTTATTTTTACTTATGTGAATTGGTGTGTGTGTGTGTGTGTGTGTGTGTGTGTGTGTGTGTGTGTGTGTGTGTGTGTTATGTGTGGGGTTACATGTGCCATGGTATGCATGGGAAGATAAGAGGACAACATTCAGGAGGCAACTATCTCCTTTCAGAGCGAGACTTCAAAGTTGAACTTGAATTATTAGGTTTTCAAGGCAGTTACTGTTATGAGTTAAACTGCCTCAATAATCTGTGAATTTAATTTTATACAGATAAAGACCTGTTGACTTCATGAAGTTTTTAGCTCTATGTATTGAAAGAGTAACTAATATTTCTCCTTTAAGTTGATATTATTCTTGAGATAACCAGATAACATCAGAAAGAGAGAGGAGGAGGGAGAGAGAGAGAGAGAGAGAGAGAGAGAGAGAGAAGCATTATACGGTATTCTTTTCTTAACATGAAAAAATGTTTAATGTTAATAGTTTACTGAGATTTACACCTGGATGGTGCATTCTCAAGAAAAGTCAGGATGATATTTGTTGGGAGATGGTCAGTTTTAGAAAAGGACAAAAACTATATTTGTTATTATTCATTGAATTAAAGTTAAATGCTAATGAAATACTGAAATAATGTCTTTAATGGACATCATATAATCAGGAAAGTGTAAAATGAAATGAAAAGATTATATTGAGATGTATCATCTATATGTCTAAAAATAGAATTAAACTTATCTGAAACTAAATTGAGTAAAAATCATCTAGGGGAAATTTCCTTCAATCTTACAATCAGAAAATAGAAATGTAGAAACATCTCAAGAGATTTATTAATCTGAAATCCATTTATACTATAATATAGACAATGCTATCTTTTAAAAATAGTTCAATTGGGGGTGTAGATTTAACTCAATATTAGA